TATGCGAAATATATCTACGATACATGCAAAACCATACGTAAAATAGTGAAATTAGTCGCATAACTTCACTTACTTTCCATAAAAATATGCATTTGCATAAAAATCCGCTTTCGCATGTTCGTAAGACAACGTAGTTCGTCTTAGTTTTTAGGCAAATAGCCTGCGCTAACGAACCGTTCGTCAAGGATTCTAACGAGAATGTCGAAAATGTTCTTCCCGGGGATGATTCCTCCGCGCATCCAATTAGAAAGTGTCTGCGTCTCCGATTGCAGCACGCGCGTTTCCTTCGGTTGTTTCCGTCCCCGTTCCATCCACCACCACCACCGCCTCCTCCGCCCGATTCATCCCTCCGATTCGAACTACATAAGCTCTACTTACCCTCGCAGCCATAGTGTTTGGCTTTGGTTTGAGGTTTGGTCGCGCCAAGCCGCGTGTTTGCGGTTTTGCTGTCGGTGCTCCGGAATAGTCCTCCACTATTCCGTGTACGTGTGCCCACATACACACGCCCCGCGTTCTACGTGTCCTGGCGACAGATTCGAGCTGTGCGGGACGATCGATAAAACGATAGATATCCTCACGTGAGAGCTTAAAGCCGAGTTATTCGAGTCACTAGGTTATTCGAATGCACCGACGCTTCTTTCTCTCAGACATCCAAACGCGACAGAATTCCATTAAGATTTAACAGATTCTATATTAGATTCCTAATACATTTCTATTTTAGGAAACGCGCAATGTATTCTGTTGTAAAATAAGAACATACTCTAACAAATGTGTACAATTTTTTCCTAAATCAATTTAAAATTCACTCTTCGTTGTACAGTAGTCAGTTCGACTTTCGTACATCGCTTTAACAGTACAACTGCAAATCGAATTCATTACTCATTCCTGAATTCCTACACAAGAACGAAGGGATAATGAACTTCTTGGAAGTCGACGGGGTCGTCGTCGTCGTCAGTGTCCGAAGATCAATTGGAAAATCCCCTTCAGGGGCTTGCTAATTAATTACGGTTTAATCTGAATGGAACTTAATATACTTCGGGAAGCCAAGGAAAAATTTCCGGATAGACAATTTATGAGAGATAACTAGTACGAAACCCGCGTCGTCACGCCGTCGGCTAAATAAATAATGAAATGGTGGCGAAGTTTATGGCAGCACTCGTGCCGAGCTGCTGCTGTAAAAAATGTATTTCTTCTGATGAAATGAATTGTGAGGATGACCCGTGTTTATGGTACACGCGCTTAGGAGAATATAACTAGCTCCGTAAGAATATTTTTCGAATATTTGTAATACAAGCAGGATTATTATAACTCTGAAGATGATTATTTGTATATTGTGACGCCATACGAGAAGGTTTCCAGTTCTTGAATTTCTTAATTCTTATGATTGTGCGTCATCAAGAGTCGTTTGCTTCAGTATTGTACTGAATATTCATGTCTCCAGCTTGTCCAGACAATTTTCTCTTAGAACCGTAAAGAGGAGGAAGTAAGTCGGGAAAAAATATCCAAGTGAGGATCAAGAAATACATTTTCTTATCTGTTATCTCTTCCTTGTCCTATTTCCGTAAGCTCGATAGTAGCGGCCAATCTGGTCGAACGTCCCATACGTAGGCCAGTATATCGCAAAATAATATCATTAAACCGAGAGATTCTCTGTTAGATCACCCTCGCATCCGGCTGCTCCGATGACTATCTGCTACAAGAAACCCCATTCCTTCCCCTTTTTCTTAAGTAACGTTTCTTAAGTTATCGATTTTTCCTAGCAGCGGATAAATATTTAAGGCGTTCCAGTTTTCTTGCTGATACATGGGTCGCACAGTCGCATAAATCTCCTTCGAGGCGGCCATAGCAGAATGCAATTCAGATCGTCCTTTGAAGTTATTCTTTGTTTGCAACAAATCACTCGTATAAAGCAGAAACTAAAGATCATACAATTTACTGTATTTGTAATCTACTTTTAATTGATATTTGCATACGAATAAAAAATTACAAATAAATACAATAATAATTTTTCCCATGCCTTCAATTTATAATCAATACTGCATAGGTTCTTCATTATTTTAATGTACGCAAGTGGCTAATTAAATATAGCAGTCAATGAAGGGATCGAGAAATAGGAGTGAAAGAATTTTCAAATTACGTTGAATTCCAATGTTTCACGCGGAATAGATAAAGCGAAATTCCTACGCGACCAACTCACTTCGTATTGACTCGGACGGTCCAAGAATTTTAATATCTCGTGTTTAATGGTATTTTTCCTTACGTGTTACACCTTGCCTTCGACTCTCAACGCGAACGAATAAACATTTGAGTGACTGACATTTACAAAATGCCACTGCCGGATATCGAATGCTGTACAGCGAGGACTGTCCTGAATTTCTGGGAGTTTAAGCCGTTATTGACGCTATTTGTAACACACTTCTTACTGTGAAATTCAATTATTGTTGCGTTCATCTTTTAAATTAAAATTTCTATCAGCTCACCCTGTCCATACTTTACTATTCAATATCGTCCACTCACTTATCTCCGAAAGCATTGCTGACTATCAGAATTTGTTTACACGTTCTCTTAAAATCGTGAATTTAATCGAAGATGAAATTTTTAATATCTCGATTCTAAATCGAACGGTCAATGCATCGATCGCGGCCGCGATATTGGCCGTCGTGGCGAACGGGACGCGGCAATTACTAACCTTTCGGTATTCGCATAATTCCGGATGCGGTGAGTGGCGAACCGGATGATTGTACAGCAATAACGTTGATCTCTCGCGTCGAAGATGCGAGGCTATTCAGTTTAAGAGCGCAGTGTCGATTCGAGATATACGAGTCGTCGAGCACAATGGCTTCAGCTTTCGTTTTTATGAAAACGTTATTATTATATCTTAGTTTTTATTGTTAATAATAAAAGCTGAAATCTCGTGTGATTCAATTTTATTTCCCTCATTGGTGTTATTGGGTGATAATCTGAACGAATATGGGAATGGATAACATTGATTTGGGTTAGAGGGTGTGATTCGGTCAGTTTAAGCGCAGGGTTTAGTATCGTCGATCCCTCAGCGGCCTTTCTAAGGGGTTTCAAGGGCCAATAGGGGTCGCTATACGACTCCAGAGAGCTTCTACCTCGAAACAGCTCGTACAGCGTGGTAGAGAATCACCCGACAGTTTTGTCAACGATCAAACCTCCGTCTTTACGACGCTATTAAGTACCCTTAGGGTGTCGAAAGGATTACACGTATTTTTACCTCAAAATAAGAAAACTACATTTCTTCCTTTATAAAATTTTTGCATAAACTGTTGACCTATGAGTATTTTGTTGCAATTATTATAATTAAGTTTTCTCTTATAATCAGAGATACATGTAAAATTCATTTTTAATAACACCGTCATTTGTATAGACAAGAGGAGCTGTTTTGCTTACGAAGGACTCTGAACTTTAATTAAGGCATACAAGATTTGACTTGCTCCCCTCATTAGCGGCTCAAGTGCCATAACTGCATCCCCGAGGCCAACAAATATACGTTATAGGGAGAATCGTAACGAATTCTTGAATTAACGAACTAATTTTCTTTAATTAACTTCATGTTCCACGATCCTCTAATCAGGAAAACAAACTCGTACGAGAGAGTCGAGTGTATATGAAGGAGTTCAGGAACTTTTCAAGACGCGGTAAAATTTATTATTCGAATCAAGTGGAAGGTTGTCGTCAAATTGAAGAATCGTCAAAGTTTTCATTACCTTTTAATTGGGAAACCTCACGGAGAATAATTAAACTTCGACATTTGAATAGGAGAAAAGTGAATGAAAATGAAGATAAGAATTTACAAATTTCGATGTCCTCATAATCTAATAAAAATATTCGTGATCCGTTGTACATCGTCGATCGATAATCACAAGTACGTGGAATTAAAGTTTGGATGAAGATTCGGGAGACGAGGAGTCATGACGTCGCGTCGTGAACGCATCGGCTGATCTCGCCGAATGGATATTCCCGAATTTAAGATTCAAGAAACGGGGCGGTAAGAAGAAGAAGACGACGTACGAGTTGGCGATAGTCCAGGAGATGCCAATTCAATCTTACTCCCTGCTGCGGATGGAAAATTTCAGGTGGCCGACGAACTTTTCCACTCCTCGGCCACTGCAGTACTACTTCAACTACTACGTTCTTGAAGACTTGTCTCATATTTTTTATTCTCCGCTGTCATAAACTCGAACAGCGTCTCAGGAGCGACTACTTGTGTTCACGATTCCCCTTGATTCATTATGACTCGAAGCAATTCTGTATCAAACAAGACTGATTCTCCGAAAACGAAGTCCTGACAAAAGATGTCCTCAGTCCTAAACAATGGAGCCTCGCCGTATGAGCGCAATTAATTTACGCATCAGCAACGAAAGAGAAAATTGCTTAAGAAGCCGTCGAAATACGCAACGCATGTCTGAAAGATTCTCCTCCCTTTTACGGGGAAAACGCGTCACGAAATTAAGCTTAATAGAGCTTCTTCACTGATGAATTGCGATTCATCAAAGCGGGACACGACAGGATGCGCGATTTCAACTCGATGTAATCACAACGTCGTCGTCGTCGTCCTCGTCGTAATAACACGGAGCTTTCTCTAGGTGCCACTTACTTAGCGTGTATATTTCAACGCATATTGATGCGTTTCTCATGTCGAAATACGAGATTCCAAACGTGACATCCTAGTGTGTACCTGTTAACGTTTGTTACATGCCTGTTTATTGGCTACTCTTTTATTGCAAGAGATTTCGATCGATGGTTATAGTCGGTACTGTAAATACCTCACAAATATAGGTCTTTGACTTGTGTTACTTTAAAACCACGTGTGCGATATATATATGAATACTTATATAATTTATTCCTATCTAATTTTCGTACCCCTGAACGTGTTATTATTGCCCATATTTTATCGACAGGGTATAATAAAGTATCATACTTTGATTTTAAGGAGCGTATAAAACAGCCATATTTGCATACATTAATTCACTTACCTTGTACGGCCCCAAATCCTTGACACTGCAGGATAATTTCACATTACGTCCCGCTGACACTGTGATATTTCCTATTTGATCAACGAACTCCGGGTCTGGGACGGTGGTGACTGAAACCAAGAAAAACCGCTGTCAGCGTCACGATATTAACGCTCCGACTGTTTAATTAACACCCTCTACAGGGTTCTTAAAATTAACCAACAAATTCATTAGATGATATTAAAATAATTATAATTATCCTACGTTGCATTCGAAATTCGTATGTCGTAATTAATTTGCAGACTTTTATTAAGGGGTTAGACCATTCTAGAGGCAAAAAAATAGTCATGTTTCGCCATTTTTACAAGTATTGTTCTGAAAAAATAATTCTGTACAGTCAATTGCGTCAATTATAATAAAAACCCTATTTTATAATTCCGATTTATTTCATAGTTTCGCTGAAAAAAAATCACAAAATATGTCTATTTTTTTGCCTCTAGATATTCATTAATATTTTGATATAGTATATGAAAAGATATTTTATGTACCTTCGTACGTTACATGTATTCTTTATATTTGCTGTACATTCAGTTTTTCTATCTAATCATAATTTAAAACAATTGAATCATTATAAAAAATATGTATTAATTCAATACATGTTTGCATTGCTGGATGTATTTGATAGATCTAAGGATATTTTCTAAATGCTTAAGAATAAAATGTAAGCTACTGTGAAGGAACTTGAGAACTGCTAAGGCAGAGATTCGACATGAAAAACAGCAGAGTCCCTCGTAGTAAGCTGTCAACCCGCAAAGGGGCAAGCCGTAGGTAACGTACGAAGAGGCGAATGTCTTTTTTTTGCAGGGAGAACATTGAAGGGACAGGAGACACGATACGCGGGCTAGGGTGGCTGTATTTCCTGCGGAGGTCGCGTCGCACAAAGAGATCGAATCGATCGAAGGTAGAAGGAATGGTGGGCGCCGTCGTCGTCTATGGGGACGCGTGGATGCGCTTTGAGTTATACGAGGCCGCCGCTCGGACTGACAGCCTAGTTATTGAATACAAAATGCAATTTTTCAAGTCTGCCGCGCGGGTACATCTGCTCTCGCAGCCGCCACCCCCTCGAGCAAGTAAGAATCTCTACCCGAGCTGATGGAATCCCAACCATTTTAATATACAATGCGTAAAATCCTACGGATTTCCAATAGTCATGAACATACTGGCTTGCAAGTTTAATTATATATATATGTATTTATCCTCGCAGAAATGAATTTATTGACAGATGTATTTTCATTTATAAAAGTGAACGACGAAATCTGAACAACTAATCGACATTAAATGCTTATTTAAATCAAAACAAAATGCAATTATTTAATTGTACAATCTGTAAATATATGAATAATACAATAATGATCGATGTAAATATAATAAAATTACAAATGGTAGCACTCATCATCTCGTAATTTATAATAATTATTCTCGGAAACGGCGTGGAGCGAGTAAAAATATTACACGTAGGTACAAAGCATGAAAATGATCGGAATACCTTGAAAGGAATCCATGGTAACGAGAACGAGCTAATGGAAGCTAGTCGCCGGAAATACACATCAAATTTCAACGCTTCAGAGGACAGCGTAACGCGTTCGCGCGTTAAAACAGGCGGTAACAGGAGGAATCATAAATCAAACGTGTACACAATAATACAATTATATTGTTATTCCCGTATCGTTATTCCCATACCTCCATTTATCCTTCTGTCTACGTAACAAAGATCCCTTTGAATGCGCGAAAACCACGATGCAGTATAGACTATCAATTTCATTAAGAAATCGTTTCAGAGATATGCGTTCCTGCCTAGTTTCTATTTTAACTCTAATTTTATAGAAACTTCATATTCCATATGAATTTTCAATTACGAAATAGCTTCTGTCTTGTACAAATCAATTGCATTAAAACATTTCTTGAAAAAAACAAAAATTCCAAAGATTTTTGTTATGAATCGAGTATTTCTTTTTATTCTGTGCCAGCGAGAAGTCAAGAAACCGTCGAGGGATCGTCGGGATCGCGTGGGAGGTGCTCATGGATTCCAGTAGCAAATCTAGTCGATGAACCGGATAGAGTCCGATCTGCGATATACACTTACGAATTCTATGGAGCCTAATGGCTCTCAAAGCGCGTTGCTCAAACGTTATTACGGATTACACGCGGGGTAGCGGTCGACGAACGCGTGGAGACGAAGAAACTGTGTGAATATCTGGGGCTGAGGTAGGGAAAGAAGGGAAAACGAAGAAGTAAAGAGGGAGAGGGTGGGATCGTTACCTCTGAAGAGACCCGCCGCCACTCGAAAGAATTTCCTGCGCCGAGAGAGTACTACTTTCAAGAGTTCGAATGCGATTCCGCTAACGATCCGTGCAGCTGCACCTGTATCCTGTGCTCACCTGCAAACTCCAATCCGAGATCCGCGAGGAGAACCTTTTGCTGTTTCGAGACATCGACGTGCTTCAAGCTACCGACTAGTTTCGCTAACTTCGTGTCTCTTTTCCGATGCAATCCGAAACTTTCTCAGTAAGATATACTGTCCTTCGGAGTTAATAATGGTACACGACATACCCGACGTATTTGCAAACATCCTCTCGTGAAACCTTTGATCAGACTTAATTTTATTAATAATCCAAATGGATTCAGACAACATATTTTGTATAATACAACACCTTATTCACAGTTATACTGTTATTTACTTGAAAGAGGAAACAATTTTATGAGACGGGAAATTATTAACCACGTAAAGTGGACAGAATCCTAGCGACAAAGCGCGGTTGTTTACAGGTTGAATAAAAATAAACGCGGAACAGAAGAAGGAGCGAGTTCCGGTTTCCCAGCCGGTAGCTTGGATTTACATACGCGTGTACAGGGGCAAATAAATGGGACGGAAGTAAAACGGAGCGATGTGGTGGGAAAAGGTGACTCGTAAAAGGTGGCTCTCCTTGACTACTACTACTACTATTACTGCCGGTTGCCAACCGTGTTTCAGAAGTCCTGCGCTACTAAGGAATTCTCTTTGGGCCACTGCCATCGACTTCGCTATCTGTGTACCGCGCCAAAAGGAGCACGCGTGTGTACGCTTCCTCTACGCCGTGCATCAGACCGCATTTCAAACTCTACCTTCCTTGTCTTCGCTACTTAAGCGTTTGTTGAGGCCAGCCTCTCGCCCTAATGTTCCCAGTTCTCGAAAACCTCGAAAAGCAAAGATCGAAAAGGCTTCTTCGTTCAGACTTGATATCTTTGCAGGTTAACACCCAAAGATTCTCAAACTTCTTCCTCTCTTGGTCGATGAATTAGTTCATATATTAAATTATAGTATAATTAATACAGGAGATATTACGTCGTAAGAGTGTCAAGGAAAAATTCTGATTATCACGAAATTAGTGGAATCATCCGATAATTAATCAGTGTCAGACCTGAACCCCATTTCCATCGGCGATCAATTAACTAATTAGGTGTTAACCGTTAACCAATAAATCGGAGGAACAGAAATCGAGAGTGGAACGGAATGACTTCGCGGTTGCGTAAAGGGGATTAAGAGAAATAAAGAACGGGAAGCGTAATTCTTCAGGAGGAATCTTGTCGTTCCCATTTCACAGAAGACTTTAGGGAAGGTGAGGTCGTGAAGTATTAATTACGGGCAAAAGTGGACCGAGGCTTCCATAGGCGGGATAATTAATACGTTGCCCGAGTATCGACTGTCGTTCGAATTAACGAGCGCCCGGGGAGCGGTCAAAGCGACCGAAAGAAGGGTGCTCGGTGGGAAGGAGTGGCTCCTCCGAGGTCGACTTCTCTCGGGGATCGCGAACAGTCTCGGAGAGCTCAGACGTGACACGGTGCATTTTCCTATACATTCGCTAATTGGACGTACATGTCGAGCAAAATTTGTCAACTGATATTTTAAAAAAAATGTACAGGAGACAAGATTAATGAGTAAACTGCAGGTTTTAAGCATTTATAGAAAAACTGAACGTGCGCATATAAAAATTGCCCATAATAGGGGAGACTTAAAATCTTTTTATATTTACTACATAATAATAATTTTGAGAGATTAGAAACAAGGTTGCATTTATTGCAAATCTTTATCTTCGTGTTTGAAACAAAATTAACATTAGATTCAATGTGAAATCTGTTCTCAAATTCTTCTACACCTAAGGTCCTGTTATAAACATACGATAGAAATATTTGATTGTTTTACTTGTAGGCACGTTTCATGCCTCTCATTATTATGTATCCATCCTCCGGTTAAGTCTTGTTACCCAAGCAAACGCACGGTTGATTATTTTTCTAATTTTAACCCGGTTAAAAGGTCTAATTTAAACGCAGTATCTTAAATATTCCACAACCGCAGTTCGCGCTCATCCCAAATTGTTTATTTAACTCATAAAGTACTTTCGGCGACGTGCATCTACGCTATCATATAGAGCAGAGCACTAGTACAGCGTAGCTAGGAAGTAGGAAAACAAGAATTTACTCCTTGCAATGTTACATTCGGGGTTTTTCCGAACGGGTGTGCTGATAGAAAAAAATTGTGCAAATATTGAACGTGGCATCCAACAAACAAGTGTATTCTCACGTGTATCCGACTCTGTAGAAAAACCAATAGCGATGCAAGAATGACAGTGGCGAAGTAGGATTTCAATGATTTCAGTGTAAATATTTTAAACATAAAAATTGAAGATGTTTATGTACTTTATATTGAAATAATTTACAATACGAGGAGACGTGAATTAAAATATATTTGATAGGTTTTATAATACCCACTTTAGAATGGCATCATTTGCATTTACCAGTCACGAAATTTTATGATTTATTTAAAAAGGGGGAGAATGGGGCAATTTTTTGCACCACTGCGAGAAGTTGCTGACTCGCTACGTCTGCTTTTACTCGGGATTTATCACTCTCTTCTGAAAAATTATATCTTTTACGTTTAACAGCCCAGCAGGTTGAATAGAAAATTTCTTCGGTGAGCTCTTCGTGTATCATTATGCATATAAAAGCGTTATTTAAATCTAGCTTCCGTAAAATGAACAAAGTTATCATAGCTACACCTGACGTGCAAATGCCGAGAAAGCTGCTGCACGTACTT